CAGTAATGCAGAGGTTCGGCATCGTGTGTTCGGGCACAGAGATGATAACTCAATTGGTGTCACCATCCTGAAACACCGACTTCGGTGGCTTGGACATGTTCTACGAATGTCGTCTCAGAGAATTCCACGTCGCGCATTATTTGCCGACGCTGGGACTGGTTGGAAGAAGCGGAGAGGTGGTCAATGTATGACATGGTGTCGTGGGATGAAAGAAAGCTGCAAAGGACTGGCTCCCGTTGGTCCTTCACGACTCCCTGGTTTTTGGGGTCCTAGAGATGGTGCTACACAGTGGCTAGAGACGTTATCAGATATGGCTCAGAATAGAAGTCAGTGGCGAACCTGCTGTAACCTTCTTTTACTTTCTTCATTAAAAGAAAGTGGTTGTGTCTTCCTTAACTGAAAGATTTCTTCTGGTTGTACCTTTCCGTTTCCCCCATTATTACTATTATTATTATTACACTACCTTACACTGATCTGTTCGTTATTGTTCTTTTTTGTCTCTCCGAATTCTCATTGTTTTGTGTGGCACATATATATTTGGTGCCCTCTTGTATCAATATTTATGTGTTCAAATAAATAAATAAATAATCCATAGTTGCAAATAATGAATTAAGTACCATTCTTATTGCTTATGGGGAAATAAATAACACTATTTCGAGGTGGTTATTGCAGATGAGAATCTATTAAACTAAGTGTGAAAACTACCTTCTCGTGCTTATATAAGTATAGTCGGGTAATGAAATGATCAAGGATGATGTTCCTAAATTTAATGTTTTTCAATAAGTTTTTGTAATTCTAAAAACAATCTAAGTACTCTTAGTTATATAAGTGGGTGTTAATAAAGACAATTGAAACACAACATTACTAACACATTCTTTCAGCCAACAATCTACTTATTTAAAATGTTCTGCAAACACTCGCCATGTTTAGTATTCGAAAACTGAGACTTTTCGTATAGCGATGGTATTTTTTAGGCTGATACCATACTATTAACATGCAGTTCACTTTCTCAGTAGAATTACACAACTAGGTCACTTGTTTCTTGATATTCGAATATATTTCAGATTCAAAGATATGCAACAAAAAATCGGGAATTTGATAGATTTTAGTGGCCTACAGAAATTTGACTAGAAAACGTTTTACCAGTAAATTGGATGAAGCATATGGCAAGGTCAATATGTCTTTAATCTGACTCTGCAAAATGGACATCGGATATTAATGAATGGTCCCAAACTAGGATGAACAGTGCTCACTAACTACTAGTTCTCAAAAACTCTTTAGCCGGAGCATTCTTGAGATGAAATGTTAATAACAAAATAATACATCCCTTTATGTAGTCGAAAATTAAAATATGACGTCACGCAGTCTGCAAAACATTATTCCTTAATCAGATGTTTTATAATACACTATTCAAAAACATGGAAATCAGTAATACTGAGCGTACTCGATTGCTCAAAAATATGTACAAGGTTCACAAGCAAGCATTTTGGTGGCGGTAACATAACTGTCAACTACATCTTAGTTATGCTTTACTGAATAACAGAATTTCTTTATCGTCACAACTGTGATAGTAAATTAAAGCTATGGAATTGTTATCCTGTAGTTAAGCATACAAATTTTACTTAGGTTCGACCATGCAGGTTGAATAAAGCAAATTAACTAACCTCTTGTATAACTCTATAGGCCGCCACTTCCATTCCCAGAGATTAAGTAACCACGAACTCAGAAATATTGTTGATTTATTCGATATTTTCTTTTTACCTCAAAATGTAACTTCGCGTAAACTTTCTGTGGTTCGCAGGATTTCACTTACCACTAAAGTATGTATATTTGTTTTATTAATCCCTTCTAAACTTACAAACTAATATGTTCTTTATAAATGTTCTACTATTCGTTGATAAAGATAGCCTAACTCCTACATCTTTTAAGCAAACATTGAGATTACTATCTATTTATTCTATTATAGTCATTCTGCTGCCCCAACGGTTAGACGCAATTCGTTTATGCTGTCTTCTAGAACTCTGTAATGAATCATCGTAACACTTTCAATGTAAGCTTTATAAAATATCTGATCCAACCTTAAATCACACGACGGACTATGTGGGTGATGATAAACTACTTTCAAAAGCTCCGTATTTATTCTCTATAAACACATTTGTACAAAATAAGTTATAGTTGTCATCAATAACATATGTTCTACTTTGAAAAATCCCTCATCTGTAAAAAATGAAGGCGATATCAGGACAATTTAGACTAAAACATTATTTTACTGAGCATCACAGATTATACTGATTTTCTTTCCTTTCCGTTTGTAGGCAATTTCCTTCCATTAATTTTTCGCGTTACTGATGTCACTATCCCCAAGCTGCATATAATTCGATGACAGACTAAGTTTATCAAAGACAGGGACTAAATCCATTGAGGAATCCAAGCCAAAGTAGATTAGCATGTTATGTTGTTATCTCCCATAACAGTTTATACATGTGTTATTACTGTGGAAATTTTTCGACGAAAACATCCTTTCTAAACAGTTAAGAAACGCTTGTTATCAATAATTAGTCCTGTTTTGTTCGATTCACAGAGGTTCACTAATGAAAAAAAGCCAGCGCCACAAAATCCCATAATCATCAAATACAAGCTAATCACGCTTTATTTTGTAATGTCTTCCAGTACAATGCTAACAAACTGTCCAGTGGCCTTCAATAATCCCAGTATACACAAAGCTTTGCCATATGAAAATTATGAAACATACTTGCTCCTATATAATAAATGATTGAGAAAGCAGAGTTCATCACCCTTGACGTTTACTCTTTTGATCTGATTTAAAAGGAGACAGTACGTAAATGTAGAAAAAAATTGTATTAGATTTTTGGGGAGATGCTTCAAAACATACCATGATGAAGTAGAGTAAGACATAACACCTGAATACACGTGAGCGACTATTCTAGAAAATTAGGTATATCAGTACGTCTGATCTCGAATGATTTTAGGGAACCAATAGTTCATTAAGTGTAACTCGTTGTCTGATTGAGACGAACAAGTTGGTAGTAATGATCCTCTAGGGTTTAGATGAGTTTGGTGATAAATTCAATATGAGAATAATCTAGAAAGTAGCACTAACGTATGTTACTTCAGATGCGCAACAAATGTGGCTGTCTCAAGCTATTTACTTTTGCTGTTATCATCTTCACTAGTTATGTACCTGACATTCAAACCCAACTGAAACAAGTCTAATAATTCGACTTGTGAGTCTTTCGTGAAACTGAAATATTCTATTCACATCACCTGTTTCGATACCTTAAAATCTTCTTGTTGTTAATCAAGTGGAACATCGAAGTGTAAGTGACCTTGAAGAAAAATTCATACTAGGATTCCTTACTATTTCTGAGCTAGGTTGGTGATGATAGTTTACTTCTTGCAAATAAATGGATTCCTCAAATTACTTAAATACCCATGAAAATAAACAAAATTGTTATCATCTATATGATTCCATAAGATTATGAATCGCATAACATTTGAAGACGAAATCATGACGTTACTTTTATTATAATGATATAACTATCTTAAATCTTATTCTTAAATCATAACGACTACGACAAAATCTAGATCGGTAGAATTCCCCTAGTTTTTTTCGTGCAAATGTACGAAATAAAGGTATCGCGCCTTAACACGATGAGGATAATAATCTTTTATACATGGACTCATATATATAGAGAAATAGACACTAGATAAGAGAAACTTTTGGATTGATGTCCAGTTAATTGTATCTAAAATTAACGCCAAGCTTCTAACATGTAGTATATTCGGTTCCATATAAATCACAGTAATTCCATTATCAGACAGCAGAAGTTTCCTCACGAATATATCAATGGTAATACTCCTGAATTCGACATTGATGGATTCAAAACTCATGGAGTATCAGTTCCCTCAAAACTGCCTATAGGCGCAGGGGATGGGTTCCAACTTGCACGAAAACTATATTCAGAGTTTCCTATCAATCGCTTATAAACACCGAACGTGACTTATCGGTGTCTTTTTAAGCTCCCAAACGATGAAACCCGTAAAAAACTTCTTGGATATGATAGAACAAATGATGTCAAGTAAAATCGTTTAAAATATGGCTAGTAAAGAATTTTATATTGGATTTTTTATGTACAAACAATATTTAATCAGAGACAGTTCTGATTTATAATTCATTATTACACAAATATACCAAAACCACTGAGTAAAAACAAATTAACAATTTATAACACATGAACTCATACCTGATGATCGGTAGAAGTGATACGATACATGATTACTTTTCCTCAAATTCTTCTTACTTTTTTTAACCTCATATTTTTCACGAAAAGAAAGAGACGTCAAACTCAGTAATGAAGGCAGTATATAATGATAAGTTTATCAGCAGATAGCTGGAAGAGATAACGAATAATAAATATACAAGTCAAGAATACAATGTATACGGGTCTCTCTTGTTCAAAAATATCAAACATGAACGAATCAAAAGTACAGGAAGGTAAGGTATGATAAGACTGGATAGAAAATAATTGGATACATTTGAAAACAAAAGATTAATGTAAAAACACATACATGAGCTAAAACATATCTGATTATACATTATTAATAATAACAGTAGGAACAACAACCCATTTGCACTTTTTATGTTCACAGTTTAACGGATTAAAATAAAATTGTTGAACTAACGAGACCTGGTTGATGACAGTAGCATACTAATCAGTAGGATGATAATCACAGTAGTTTTTTAACAGTAATTCTTTCCCCAATTATACCAAGCTCCACAATCACATTTGTGATCTCATGATGAACGAACTTGAGATATACAAGCATCAAATAAAATTTTTAAAAATGAAAAGTAAACTAAGGTAACTAAGTATTGAAATGTGATTTAACTGAGTTTGAACAATTATAAACAACAATAATTATAATGATAAACATTCTATCGGAGATACATAGGAAATTTCAGTAGAAAAGTATAGTTAGGGTTACAAAGCGAAAGTTTACTATAAGAAAGTGACTAAAAGCAAAATAATCGTAATAACTTAGATTAATTAATAATGTAATATAATATATATAAAAGGATTTAAATGCAGTTTCAATATACATCGAGTATTAATAAGTGGTCAGCTAACTAATCGGTGATAGCTAAGACTATTTTAGATTACAAGAGCTACCACATAAAAAAGATAATTAAATAAAGCCAGAGGATAAAGAAACTAGGAAAGTATTTATCACATTGCTGAGTAACACCAGAAACTAGTCAACATACAGATTTTTAGCTTGTGTGAAATAATTCATTTCTGTGCACATGATACCCAAGATATTTAGGAGAGTAAACAAGAGTACAGACAGATGAGAACTAGAGTTGAAATAGAAACAACTAATCTGAATTACACATAAGTAATAATTAATCATTACGAAGAATCGCAGAAAGCAGTAGGTAAGTAAACGACTATAACAGTAATATCATCCCGATAATATCTAGCTAAAGAAGCTGGCATTGAAAAGTGTAAGGCTATTTGTTCGGAATTCATTTCTGTACCACCAAGTGCAGTTCGAATTAAACGACTAGCAGCAGTATCCCCAGAACCACAAGATGGATTCTGAAATAAAACAGATACGGTATAAATTAACATATGCTTAATTGAAGAGTAACAAAATGATAAAAAATCTAAAGCAAACAACAATTATGAAGTACTGGAACTTGTAGCCCGATTTATAGGAATAATGTCAGACATTAAAATCCAACTTTTGATACTGATCGTCAGGGAGTAACCTCGATTTTCAGAAAATTCGCGCTTTTTATGCTAACAAAAGCGTTGTAGTGACTTGAATTACTAATCGCCACCAACTTTGGCTAAACGATGAGGTTGCTATTGATTTTAATGTTGTTTGTTGATGACTACACACACTGCCCAATTATCTAAATAGAAGAAAAATCTCCAACAGTAAAGGGATTGAATGTTGAACCCGTTAATCACTGGACCACAGCACTTTAACAAATGTTTTAAATTCAAAAACAGTATGAACTTCTGATCCTTTATAAAACAACTTAATGTTATACCCCCCTCACAGATGAACTCACAAATCTGTGAAACGCATAAGGGCAAATACTTTCTCTATATGAACGCAATATTGTTGTACAAAACACAAAATTATACACAAAAACTTACACCTTTATAATCATACCAGTGACGAGCAACCACATGCACAGCCTCTGCTGGTGAAATCATATCCCACAAGCCATCTGTCCCCAAGATTAAGAAGTGATCACAAAGTGGAGAAAGAGGTTTCCACAAAACTTGAGGTGTAGCGACTAAATAGGGTGGACTGGCATAAAAACGTGGAGAAATAGGATAATTAGGGGGGAGATCCAATAAGCGTGCGATGTTCTTTAAATCATCTGTTGACCATTTGAAACGAATATCTCCAAATGCACGTAAAGGCATTAATTCACCTAAAAATGAAACAAAATGAAAGTTCGCAATATACCCTAATATTTTTATGTTGGAAGCTACTTATACTACTTTAAGTAGGGTGGTACGGTTTTTTCAATTTTACTTCAACTAGATAAAATTGAAATTCATAGTGCGAAATTATTAGTGGCATCCGATCAACGGATATTGAGTATCTTGAGTAGACAGTACCTATAAATAACTTAATCTAACAATAGCTATGTATTTTACTCGTACCGTTTTAAGTTGTTTTTGATTATTTATGCAACAACCAGGAATCATCCACAGTTTTGTGTTGCCAAATTATTGCCAACAGCTGTATAGAAGGTCCGCCAATTTATTCACATTTATTTTTGCCAACATTTACTTATTAGACTTCTCTCTCTCGTTACAAAATTTTCTTACTTCTTGAGGCGTACCGGCCCAAATTCTTATCTTGTCACAATACGTCCTGTTCAATTACCCATAATTACTTGATGTTGTTTAGTTAACGCGCCTTTAATTAAACTGCTACTATATGAGAATAAATGTTTGTACTGTCATACCAGACATCTTTAATCCGTAATTTGTATACCCTTTGGTGTTTTCTATTTTGGAGTTTTATCATTCCACAATTCTGAAACTCTACTAAGATAATAGTCGTTTTGTTAACCTATTATGATAATGATAATTTGTTCTCCAACAACAGTAATTTGTCCGAGGTATGCCAGATTACAACCAAGATCAAAATGTCGCACATGACACAATATTTTTTTACTACAACGAGTTCCTCACTTGTGTCAATGTGTTGAAAAATATGTTCATAAAACGAACAACTAAGTACGTTTCAATGCATTAGAAAGTGGTTATTAATAGCAAAACCATAGTGAACAATATGAGAGTTGGCGAGTTGTACGTTATACCATGTTAATCATATATCTACTGCGTAAGTGATCCGTCAGTCTAAATAGATTATCATATGAAAGAATGAGCTGCAGCAAAATATATGAGAATTGAGGCAGGTGTCATTTTTGTAGGTACTATCAAGGCTTTACGTAAGGTCTCTTGCCAAGAATCTAGAATACAACCAGAAAGTTTTAAAATCCGTTAAATTGCTACAAATTAGATCATTTAATTTCTCAGTGTAGGGGGAAAGAAGATGAGGGTGGGGGTTAATTTTTAGAAATCAAAATCTTTGACGAGTCGAGTTTAACAAACGGATGCACCATACCTACTTATGTACTCCAGTCACTCCTCGTGGAGCAGCATAGGCCACCCATCAGCATTCTCCATCCAACTTCAACTGAGCAAACATTTCCCAGTCTTCTCCTCAGTTGGGACCTGCTTTGTTCCCTCTCAAAGTAGGCTGTTATTAATCATATCCGACCAACGGATATTGAGTATCTTGCGTAAACAGCTGTCTATAAATACTTGTACTTTTTGATCATGATTATGGTAGTTCTCCAAGTTTCAGTTCCGTACAATAGAACTGTCTTGGCGTCCGTATTGCAGATTGTGACTTTGATATTGGTTGGCAGTTGTTTTGTGTCCCATATGTTGTCCAACTATACGAAAGCTGTCCTTTCTTTAGCATTCCTTGCGTTTAAGTCTGCATCAGATCCTCCTTGTTCATCGATGATGCTTCTCAGGTACGTGAATGTTTTCACCTCTTCCAGAGTTTCTCCATCAAGTCTAATTCAATTGGTTTACGCCGTGTTGTATTTGGAGATCTTACTTTTTACCTTGTGTATGTTGGGGACTACTGATGCAGTGACTACTGCTTAACTGGTTCTATTGGTATGTATTCGCTCGTGTGTGTGTGTGGGATAGAAGAGCTAGGTCATCTGAAAAGGCCATATCGTCTAGTTGCATGGAAGCTGTCCATTGTATTCCGTGCTTCCCTTCAGATGTAGAGGTCTTCATAATCCAGTCAACCACTAGAAGAAAGAGAAAGGGGGAGAGTAAGCAGCCTTGATTGACTCCGATCCTCACTTGGAATGCGTCTGTCACCTGTCCTTCAAACACGATTTTTCAGTGTAACCCATCGTATGAATTCCGACTGATGGTAACGATGTTCTCTGGTACACCAGAATGTCGAAGAATGTTCTATAAGGTTCTCCTATCCACACTTTCAAAAGCCTCCTCATAGTCAAGGGAGTTGATGTGTATTGATGAGTTCTACTCAATCGATTGTTCAACGATGATCCGTAGTGTTACGATTTGTTCTGTGAACAATCGGTCCCTAAGGAATCCAGTCTGTTGATCTCGAAGTTGGGTATCTACAGAATCTTTCATCCAGTTCAACAACATTCTGTAGAAAATTTTTCCTGGTTCTGATAGCAGTGTGATTCTTCTGCTCAGTTCTCTTTTCTTTGGTATTTTGAGGTCTCCTTCTTTTCATTTTATCAGTGTCACTTGTTTCTTCGTGAATAGAGCGTGGAGCATGTTTACAGTTTGTGGAATGACATCTATGGGGAGGTTCTTAGGTGCTGCCTCGTTATCCAGTGGAGCTGATCTATTCAACAGTTACTCAAAGTACTCTACACATTTTCCCATCTGTTCTTGAATCTCAGTGATTGTCTTGCCTTCTTTGTTCTTGACTGGCTTCCCTGGCTTACTAGATTTCCTCACCAGTTTCATCGTCGTGTCATATAGCTGCCTCATATTTCCTTCTCTTTCAGCTTTTTCCGCTGTCGTTGCTAGCTCCTCCACGTGTTTCTGCTTGTCAGCACTTATGCTCTTCTTCACTTGATTGCTTGGTTCTGTGTATTCAGCCTTTACTTTAATTTTTGTCTTCTTATTCGGCAGTCGTTAATTGCCGTCTTCTTGTTCTTACTTTTGAATTTTTTACTAATGCAAATACAATTGATCTGGTTCTGCGTACTGTGATCCGGTGAGACCCATGTAACTTACTGAATGCGTTTGTGTTGTAAAATGAGGCCGCCTATAACGATTGTAAATCACCAGTGTAGATGATCTATATCGAATGAATGGAGGCCTAATCGAGTTAGACGGGAATGGTGTGACGAACCAGCTAACGTCGAAGTCACATCTCGCGGTCAGCACCTAACGTGGATTACCCCATTGACGTACCAAAGTACTATAGCTGTTTTGAAGACTTACAACACAAAGGACGTTATTACAGAAATATATTAGTTAAAGTAGATACAAGCGAAAGTAAGTCTACCGCCGCATGAGCCAGTCCATGGAGTACGATTAACTAAGGCGCGCTGGACGTCCTTGACTTTGACAAGGATCGATGATCGGTTCGATATTTAAAGACCCTACTGCTGGATGATTTGGCTAGGGCTTAGTGACATTTCACTGGCTCTACACCAACTTGTTGAATGCACATGAATTTGCGAATCTCTCACCATTCTCATTCCTTTCTCAAAGACAGTCAACGTCGTCCCATGATATCTTCATATCCGCTATTGTCCATCGTGAATTTGGCGATTGAGTCTCGCATCAGGAAAATCCACGCTTATTGAATTTCCAAGTAGTCAGGTCTTGATAGCGAATGCTCGTAGTTTTTGAAGTAAATTCCATGAACTGAGAGTACTAGTGAGCGCATTAAAGTTACCCATCGTAGCGGAGACCTAAACTAGGTTAGTCCATGACTTTCGTGTTACTTCAGAATTATCGAGACACAAATCAGTCAGTCAGTCAATTAGCTACAACTTAGGACCAGGCTCTTTCACGTTTCAAATCAGCTATGGCTTTTAGAACTTCAATTAGAGTCGGGGGCCTGCTTCAGTATTCCATTAAAACTGTTTGGGAATAGTGGGTAGTTGTAGAGTAGCTGAAGATCAGCTGAACTGATCCTTAAAGTGTCCCGCCCATCGTTCCAGACGTCTGGGCTAAAAGCAGATAAGAGTGTCGTCTTTTCCTGAGATCGTCTCACTTACACTTGACTTGTTAGCATCAGTTTTTTTACTAGTCTGAAAAGCATGTCTAGTGTTACCTACAGCGGCTGCCTTTTCTATCGCTTTTGCTTTCGTCGCCCATCTCTGCTCACCGTCGTTGTTGTTCTGCCCTCGTACATAGTGCTATGCCTACACCAGCCAGTCCACGAGAACTAGTCATCAGGTCGCCAGATAAACGGAGGGTGTGTTTTGTCGGCTCCCCGCCTTGGTGAGGTGTAGTCGAGTGAATGATCACACTAAGATCCTGTATGCGTGTTTCGGAGACACAGCAAACATCAACGGTACGAGATTCCAGGGTTTTAGCCAAGGAGGCCTGCTGGTCGATTTGGCATAGGGTGTGTATGTTGAAGGCTCCAATGTGTAGTGTTTCGCTCACTAGAATCGTTGGCCATGGTGACACTTGGGGAAGAAGCCAAAAAAGAAGTTTATAGTTGAAAGTTGAGATGGGAAGAATAATAGGAATTGAAGAGGGAAATTGATTATGAATACAGTGGTCTTGAGTGCTGTTAGAGGTATGAGAGCGGCTTTCACTTGCCGGTTGCCCACACCGAGGAAGTGTTCTTATAGTGGTACCTGAAAAGGAAATTGGATTAGAGTTGGTCTTATTGACCTGACAGCATGAATACAGTGCCCGAGGGGCAACTGCTTGAGGCAAGTCACACACGACCTTTTTGGGTAATTTTCGTATTAGCTCCGTTGATACACTGGATTAGATTCAAGAAAGGAGAAACAAGAAGGCAGGATTCCGTAAGGATAGATCGTGTACAGACCAAATCGCAACTCTACGGTTCATTGTGGAACAATCAATTGAATGGAATTCATCACTCTACATCAACTTCATTGACTACGAAAAAGCATTTGATAGCGTGGACAGAACAACACTATGGAAACTTCTTCGACACTACGGCATGCCCCAGAAGATAGTCAATATCATACAGAATTCCTATGATGGATTACACTGTAACATCGTGCATGGAGGAAAGTTGACAAAATCGTTCGAATTGAAGACCGGTGTCAGGCAAGGTTGCTTACTCTCACCCTTCCTCTTTCTCCTGGTGATCGACTGGATCATGAAGACATCAACATCTGAAGGGAAGCGCGTGATACAATGGACATCTAGGATGCAGCTGGACGGTCTAGACTTCGCAGATGATCTGGCCCTTCTATCCCAAACGCAACAACAAATGCAGGAGAAGACGACCTGTGCAGCAGCAGTAGGTCTCAATATAAACAAAGGGAAGAGCAGGATTCTCCGATACAACACAGCATACACCAATCCAGTCACAATTGACAAAGAAGATTTGGAAGATGTAAAAACCTTTACATATTTGGGCAGCATCATTGATGAACAAGGTGGATTTGATGCAGATGTGAAGGCGCGGATCGGCAAAGCAAGAGCAGCATATTTACAACTGGAGAACATCTGGAACTCAAAACAACTGTCAACCAACACCAAGGTCAGGATTTTCAATACAAATGTCAAGACAGTTCTAATGTATCGGGCGGAAACCTGGAGAACTACGAAAGCCATCATCCAGAAGATACAGGTTTTTATGAACAGTTGTCTACGCAAAATATTTCGGATCCGTTGGCCGGACACTATTAGCAATGACCAACTGTGGAAAAGAACAAACCAGATCCCAGTGGAGGAAGAAGCGCTGGAAGTGGATAAGACACACATTGAGGAAAGAACCCAACTGCGTCACGAGACAAGCCGTCACATGGAATCCTCAAGGCCAAAGGAAAAGAGGAAGACCAAAGAACACATTACGCCGGGAAATGGAGATAGACATGAGAAAAATGAACAAGAATTGGATGGAACTAGGAAAGAAGGCCCGGGACAGAGTGGGTTGCAGAATGCTGGTCGGCGGACTATGCTCCATTAGGAGTAACAGGTGTAAGTAAGTAATTAAGTAAGTCCGTACTTGTTGGAACCTTACCACAGGAGACGGAAATCCGTGGGATAAAGCGAGGTGTGTATTTTCAGAATCGACCTTTTCTAACTCCACCTCTCCTTGTGGGAAGGCAGCATCGCTGTTATGCTGGCCGTCTGAAGCAAGCACCTTGCTGCCGTCACACCCAAGTACAGCCAGCAGTACGACTTCATCCTCAGGCCTTGGGCTTACTGATTTTAGTCTTACCACCCTTCAACCTACCTGTCTGGCATGGTGGGACCTTGAGGAACGATGGTTCTGGCCAGTATAGCGCGACTAGCTCATCACGATAGGCGAGCGCGACCACCACGTCAAGGTAGCAGCAACGGTCAGGCTTTGTTCATTCAAGTTAATAAAATTATCAATAACCATACCATTAGTAGTTAAACATTATTTAACATACAATTGTTCATAATTTGATAATGCGTAGGAAAAGTCTTGTTTAGCAGATCGATGTACTGTGTGGGAAACGTTCACTATTATGAAATCCTGTATAATTATTAAGAAACAGAAATATAAATAGAATAATATCCTTACCAAGAAGTCGATCATCTCGGATTATAAATTCAGCTTCATGGACAGGATGACTAGATTTAATTCTCCGAACATCTGCTTCATTTTCAGATATGTGAGGAGGAATCAATAGCTTGGCTTCCCAATGCTCTCTAGTATATTCCCCAGAGGTTTGAGTGTAGATGTCTATCGAAGATGGAATTGTAACTGGAACTTCACAAGGAGGTGAATAACTTCCAATTACAGCCCCACAGTCACCTACCTACATCAAAATGAATAAATGTCAATTCTTAATACTTGTTATAATTACCTGGTATGTCAAATATAATTATTTAAAATAGCATATATAGTAGGTTTATTGAATATTTCTTTACTTAAAAATACCACGAATATTGAACATCCAATTATGAAAATAGCAATGTTGATAAAGTAGAGCAGTACCACCTAAATGATTTAACCACTTGGCTCCTAAATAACGGGTCTCAATTTTGAACATATAACGTAATTTTGCTTGGACAGTCCTGTAATATCAGTAACCCTAAGTAAACAGTATGACCTAGTATATACGCCTGTACTTGGTAAGCTAGTTACATTTATTCACCAAGTAACCTAACAAAGATCGCTCAAAAGTTATTAAGTGGACATTTCAGTACTTATCTGCAATGAAGAAGTTTGTTAACAGTTTAGACAGAAACAGAAAAATTACTCGCAACATAAAATCATAAAACAAGTGATTTGGCTCAGAACCAAGCTCTTCTTTATTCCACACATCAGATTCTATGCAGATAAAAAAATGTAAGGGGGGTTCGATAAAGTTAGAGCCTCACACTATAAGGTAGGGAAGAGACTTTCAAAATCAAACTTCCACAAACCGCCTAAGTGTTTTTTACGAATAAATCCTTTTCTCGCTTCTCAAGAATTATCTTACACCTACTATCAACCCTTCTCCTATGGCATCATTTTTATTCCCCTATACACCACTATTATCAGCAGTTTGACTTTACGGGATGTTATCTCATATCTCCTGAGACCGTACTCTAAACTACATCTCGGAACTTTTGATGTTTATACTTTGTGTCAAATAAGCTAACAAACATCCTTAGGTAGGACTACTCTAAAATCACGTGTTATCAATGTGTGCTGTGTCTCCGAAACACCAAGTGCGGTCATTTACTTAACCTCACCTAGTCAATATAGAGAGCGGGCGCGACTTACCGGTTTTTGTATCTGATGGTTTAATTTATTTTTGTAGCCTTTCTGGTGTGTGTATAATATTAGGTTTAAACGCAGAACAAGCTCTTGCAGACCGGGTTCAAATAGACAGTCACTTGTGAGCTATCAATAAGAACTCACAAATAAACAGGGGCACAAGATGTATCCTCTTCGTTATCTCTGCTTACGGTCACATTGACTGCAGTTTCGATGAAGAAAAGTATGTTTTACAGAGTATTTCCCGCTCTCCTACGAAAGATGGGGCAAGGCTTCACTCCCAGCCCAGAATACTCGAACGATGGGTGGAACACTGAAGAAACATTTGATTGCATCTCAGATACCCTTCAGTTGCCTACCTTTACCAAGTAACCTGAATGAGTTGTCAAAATCAGCCCCCCAGCTGAGTCAAGTACAGAAAACCATAGTTAGCCTAAGGAGAGGGATAGCAGTGAGGGCCCTTATTGATTAACTTCTGAGATCTTTATGGATGTTGGTCCAGTTTTAACTATTGACTGCGATATTAGCCAGAGTTTAGAAACTGAACGTAATCCCATTTGACCTGTCTCAATTGTTGATTGCATCAGTATATAAGAAAGAACAAAAATTCTCTCGTGATAACTAGAGGAGTCAGTTCAACTTGTTTACTGTTTAGCTTCAATGATTATCCAATGTTTAAATAGTGTTCATGAGACTAGGTGCCGTTCTACTTTATGAATGTAAAACAGCCATTACGAGCAGAGGATACTGATATGTTACTAGTATTCAATCATATCTTTGAAGCATTACTCGTATATTTTGGGACCATTGGGTGATTAATGCTGGATCTTTATCAACTAAGGTGGGCAGGACATGTATTACATACGCCAATCCCCCAACTAACTCTATGTGTGATGATGGTTAAGGGTCAGTCAGTCAGTAACAACGTAGAACTTCGTACGTACGTACATCAGTTCGAGTTGCCACACCCCATTAGCACAGAGATGCAGTGGTCGATTCAAATCCCGTGGTGCTAGATGTAGTAAAATTATAAGCTGTAATCAGAAAAATTAGGGTTTGAAGATGTTATTCAAGGAGTATAATCCAGTAAAATAAATTTGGAAAGAGAAAAAAGAAAGGGACATGAAGAATTCAGGAGATTAGAGTTTGGGAGAACACAAAGAGTGGATGCACCTGCGCCATTGCAAACGATTTTGAGCCGTGTCATTCAGGATCTCTAACCATCGGTTGCTATCATCTCGCGGCGCCCAACCAGGTAGTCTACACCTACCAACATGATTCAGTCCTCTTGTCAGTGACTTCATGGCCATGTTTTGGTTTCGCCGCCCCTGGCTTTCTTCCAATCTACACCTATACAACAAAACATCGCACATCGAGGCAGTCGGTCGTTGGGCATACGTAACACATGTCCCAGCCATCTCAACTGATGAAGTTTCACTACGTCATCAATTGATTTGCCATCCTTACCTAGTACCCGTTTCCTAACAACTGTGTTACTTACTCGATGGTCCCAGGATATACAAGCAATATTTCGAAGACACCTATGATTAAATATTAGTAACCTACGGATATTCTCTACTCTTACCGGCGATGTTTCACTGCCATAAAGTAGGACGGAACGAACTGCTGTGCAGTAAACACGTCCTATGGTTGATAGACGGATATCTCGTCTACGCCATAAATGACGCAAGTTCGTAAAAGCTAGTCGAGCCTTCTGTATCCGTGCTGAGATTTCGTCACACACCAGACCACAAGGGCTGATGGGAATTCCAAGATAAGTGAAGCGATCGACACGCTCAATTACTTTACTCCCTATCATTAGTTCGGATGTTGATGCAACCCAATCCTGAAGCAACATTTTGCATCTCCAGGGGGAGAATCGCATCCCGAACATGCTTGCATTGTTGCTTAGAGTGGTCAGAAGACTCTGCATTTTGTCAGCGTCTTCACCAAATAGAACTATGTCATCGGCATATTCTAAGTCAACAAGTGAACCTCCTGGTAGAAGTTCAACCCTTGGAAATTTAGATGAGGAAAGTGTTATCTCTAGAAGCACGTCAACGGCAAAGCTAAACAAGAATGGAAAGAGTGGATAGCCCTGACGAACACCACTTGAGGTAATCAATTCCGATGACAGTTCACCATAAGCTCTCACTCGACCAGTTGTGTTCGAGTAGAGAGCCTTTATAAGGTTAATGTACTTCTTTGGTACTCCTTTCAGTGACAAACACTGCCATAGAACCTCACGATCAAGAGTTGAATGCCGCCTTAAGGTAGAGAAATACTACCATTGTGGGACGTCCGAATGTGTGTCTGTGTTCTAGAAACTGACGTAGTGTGAATATCTGGTGTATACAACCACGTCCAGGTCGAAAACCAGCTTGATTTTCTCTAATCCGTCCTTCACGAGCTATGACTAGGCGTCGAAGTATTATTAAAGCTAATATTTTAGACACTATATTTGTCAAACTGATTCCTCTGTGATTGTCACAAGAGGACTTTTGTCCTTTCTTATAGACTGGCACAATCAGTGATTGAGACCAGTCAGATGGGATTACGTCCAGTTCCCAAATTCTACTTAAGACCTCAGTTAATCTCGCTGCTAATACTGAACCACCATCCTTAAAAATCTTGGGAGTAAACCTGTCAGGGCCTGCTGCTCTCCCTCACTTCAGATTTCCTATGGCTTTTTCAACTTCGTAAAGAGACGGAGGACCTACATTAACTTGCCATTCAGGTTGACTAGAGATCGTGGGAAATCGAAGTGTGGCTGAAGGCCAGTTGAACTGATCCCTAAAGTGTTCTGCCCATCGATCCAATCTCCTGGATTGAGAATGAATAATATGTTCATCTTTCTCTGAGATTGTTTCGCTAACGGTCGGGTTCCTAATGCCGGTTTCCTTAATAAGTCTGAACAATTGTCTGCTATTACCTATTGCCGCTGCCTTTCCCATCTCTCTTGCTTTCGCTACTCACCACTGTTTACGATCATTGCGTAGACTTCTTCTCAGCTTGCGCTTAAGCTGACTCCGCTCTTCATTACGTTTAGAGACAGGCGGAATGAGTTTCCCAGCACCTACCAGTGCGATAGCTGCTGCTGAGATCCAGTGTTGCTCCCTAACCTTCTGGTTTACCTTACTAGCAGATATCACTGCTGTTTCCACAGCTTTTCGGATATCATTCCATGCTTCCTCGGGGTGGGCATCACATACATGGCTGCTTAACTGTTTTTCTAGTTGTTCCTGAAATATACTCTTAGCTTGACTATTATTAAGTAGGACCCTAAGAGGTTTCCTTGCAGCGTCTTTCCTACGTCCAGTAAGACGCAGACAGATACGCGTTCGCACTAGAGCATGATCTGAATCTAAGTATGTGCTCCAGAATGAGCGATAGTCTTCTATCGAGCCCCTCCATCGGTGGCTGATAGCAATGTGATCTATTTGGGCCCAACGTTGGGACGACTTAGGGGGTCGCCATGTTAAAAGATTTTTTCCTTATGCTTAAAGTTAGTATTTGCAAGGAACAGGCGGTTATCTGAGCATAGCTGCAACAGACGGTCGTCATTATCTGTTCTTTGAGCCACGATGCTATAAGATCCACCCAGGTGTCTTTCCCTGTCGCTTAGTTTACCTACTTGAGCATTAAAGTCACCGGCCACTATTACTACATCAGAGCGCCTAGCTTTTCGGAGAAGGTCGGAGAGCTTTCTGTAAAACTCATCTTTTACATCATCTGAGCTGCAGTCAGTGGGAGAATAGGCAGAGACGACGAAGAGGCAACGACGAGTGTCCCTATCTTTCCGGATCCTTACTGTTCCGTTCAGTCAGACAGCGCACAAACGACTGTCTACTGGGATCCACTCTAAGAGAGCTAGTTTTGCCCTGGGACTCAATGCTATACCTACGCCGGCGAGGCCACGGGAAGCAGAATCAGGGCTTCCAGATACACGAAGCGTAAATCGAGTCGGTTCTTTATTTAGGAATGGTGAGGTCAAATGAATGACGCTACTCGGATCCTGTATGCGTGTTTCGGAGACGCAGCACACTTCGATGG